TTTTTCGTTCTTTTTTTTCAATTCTTCTTTGAAACGTGAACTTTTCCTAACAAAAGCAATAAATAACAAATTAGGTACTAATCCATTCAAATAATAATAAAATATCATCATTTAGGATCCAAAATAAGTGTAGAAACTATACTTATCAGCCACAATCACCAAAATAATTTATCACAAATATTCTTTTTATTCCATTCACACTACCCCACCCAATTAAATGCCACGCTATGTCACCACAACCTCCAATTGTACATTCATAATTTGTGACTAACACCAACAGCAACACTACCACTAAAACCAACACCACCACCGCCAACAAAAATCATCCAAAACTCCAATGCCAAAACATAGAAACCACCAAAACCACAACTCCAAGGACAAAAAAACACCGCAAAGGCGCTCAGTGGTGCTGTGAGCTCCATCACACGTATCAGTACAACATCGCAAAGTGCTATTAAACAATGATTGTTAGCAGCAACACTGTGAAACACAGCGTCCTATGAGTAAAGAACCGCGCAGCGACGATTGGCAATGACATAGTGTGACAACAAAGCAATCTATCTGTGAGCGAAGCACATTGATATGAACTCTACGACCGATGTTAGCTACCAACAATAGTGCCCTTGTGCAGCGGCCTGTGAGCGTCGCTAAGCATAATAATATAACATTGGTTGGTATTGGCGACAGATAGAGAAGAGAGAGGTGAAGAGGGAAGAAAGTGATTTATTATTTTAAAATAAGTTGGATGGCTGGGGTAGCGAGAAGTGGTTGGGTGAGTATGTAGATTAAATTTATTTTGTAATATTGTTATCAATATTAAAAATTTATCACCTAATTTTTTAATAAAAAATCTTTGAATCTGATTTTTGAATTGCAAAATAAAAAAAACATGCGAGAGTGTTAATTCCACGTTTTCTTTTAATGTTGTGTTGGCCTTGAGCCAACCTATAAGTGATAATTAGATCGTGTACCATTTTTTTTTTTTTTTGCCTTCTAAATTTTCATTATTACTCCTTTTTTTAATGTTTCAAATTCACTGATACATTTTTATCCCTGTTTGATAGCCATTAAAATTAGATTTTAAGGAAAATATATTTTTAAATTGTGATTTTTTGAAGATATATGGTTAAAAAATAAGAAAAAATTGGATTTACATGTAATTTTTTTTATTAAAGAACTATTATTAAAAAGAAGAAAGAGGGAGATGCATTAAGCCCTTGTTTAGTTCACATTATTTTCAAAATTCATTTCTCTCTTATTTTTAACTACACTTTATTCAATAAAATAATATTATACTCAAATTTAAAACTTTTTTTTATTTTTTAACCACACATTTTCACCAAAATATTATGTGAAAATGCATTTTGAGCAAAAAAAGGGCGGCTCAAATAGATTTTAAATTTAAAATGAGGCCGACTTCATAACCAATCATTTTTAATTTCAAATTTAGCCTTTGTTTGAGCTCCATTTTTTCAAAATTCATTTTTCAATTATACATTTCTCAATAAAATAGTTTCACACCTAAATCGAAAATTTTTCTTTATTTTTAACTACACATTATTCAAAAAATTACTATTTAAAAATCCATTTTTTCCTAAAATGGGAATCAAACACAGGCTTAGCCACTGTTTGGTGGGATTAAAATCAGATTTTGATATATTTTAATAAAAGTTGATGAAATGTGTGATTAAAAAGTTGTGGGACCCATAAATATGGTTGAAATACATTGTTATTTTTGATTAAGATTAAAATCTAAATTTTAATTGATACCAAATAAGGGCTTATTATTTTTATCACACAGTATATTCTATTTAGGGAAAATTTCATATTTAGGTGACTAAGTATAGCCCATTTAAAAAATAAATAACGATGTTTAAAATTTCAAAAATCAGTTATTAACTATATTTTTTATATGAAATAATTAATTCAAAATATATTTATTAATTAAATATATTAATGTCACATTTTATACTATGTGATCATAAATTATCGAATTATTTGTTCACAAATTATTTATTGATTACTAATAAAAAAATTTATAGATCACAAATTATTTTAAGTTACAAATTAAAAATTTTATAAGACATAATTTATTGTTCACAAATAAAAAAAATTATATATTACAATTTATTTATCGGTCACAAATCTCAAATTTTATGAGTCATGACGTCACATATTATTTATTCATCACAAAATATCCAATTTATTGGTTACAATATCAAATAATTGGTCATGTTTTATTTATTAGTTATAATCAACCAAATAATTGATCGCAAACACACCTACCTCATGCAATCCTACTCACAACCACTAGCAATGTTAGCATCATCAACACTAGCACCTCGTTGCCACCGTCAGCATCACTAACACCTACCACCACCATCGCCACCACCAAATACATTGTCGTTGCATCCCCATCTCCACAATTGCCCACTCCAACAATCACCCACTGCCTTCACTCTACGCTCACATCTACCACCACCGTCTGCTATAATCTACCATCTCACACAACACCACCACTCTACCAAGAAACCTCCAAACCCTGCCACCTCCATCTGCATTTTTAATACACAAATCAACTTCCAACTTCAGCACCACAAAATAAAAAAAAAGACAGAGAAACAAGAAAATCTTATTTATACAAAAATAAACTTCTTCGATTGCTATATTGAATGTAAATCCCCATAAATTCTCAAATCTCTGGCTGTGGATCTCATAGGTGGGCTTCAGCGCCACTACAACGATGACACCATGGGCACGCAGGCTCCTGGGGAAGGTGATCAGCACTGCGTGGTGGTAACACCATCGTCGCCGTGGAGCGGCACTCTAAATAGTTGTCGTCCTGCATGATTGTGTTGATATAGACGACGAGAAAGATAAAGAGAGCTAGAGAGATAATGGAAATTTAGGGCTTGAAACAATGAGGTATAGTTGGTATATAAGTTAATTTAGGCCTGTTTGATGTTAAATATAGAATTTGGGTGAAAAGAAAATGAATTTCAGAGAATTGAATTGCCTAAAAATTATTTTACTAAGAATTGTCAAGTATTGTGTTTGATTGATATAATTTTTCACTCAGAAAACGTTGAAATAAAAGTATCTTTTGGTGTTCGTTTGACTTTGTTTTTATGAAAATTGTCAATTTAAGAGATATTATCTTTTACAATTATTCCTATAATTTGTTTCCATTGCAAAAAATTAAAAATTAAAAAAACAAAAAAAATCCAAAAATCATTTATATTTTGGTATTCGTTTGACTTTATTTTATATAGAAATTGTCAATTTAAGGAATATCCTCTTTTACAATTGTTCCTATAATTTGTTTCCATTGTCAAAAATAAAATAAAATAGTTGGAAAATGAAAAACCACCCAACCCCATGGGAATTGATTTTCGCCAAAATTTAAGAATGTGTAAACATGCGAGGCAAAGTGGGAATTGGAATTGCCAAGAAAATATTATCTGTCAAACACACAAAAAAAAAAAAAAAAAAAAATTCCATGGAAAAGGTGGTGAATCAAACATGGCCTTAGTTTTATAATATTATTAATAATGAATTATCATCGACTTTGTATAAATAAACTTTAAATCTTATTTTTTAAAATGGTAATTTAAAAAATCTAGTCCTATATAATTTCCACTTGACATTCCATTTTGGATAGTGACAATCTTAGTGCAGTTAAAATGAGTAATTGACACAAACGTTCTTACCTTTTAATATTATTGTGCAAAACGTCAATGCTATTTGCTTTTTGACATTTTCACATCTACTTTCACCTTTCACTAGGGAGATCATCATTTTTATCTATTTTCTCAATATAAAAAATGTAAAACGACAAATATATAATTTTAGTTAAATAAAACGAAAAAAAGAAGAATTAAAGAACGATTTGTAATCATACTCCCGTACTTTTTTAAAAACTGCAAATGAGTCTAAATAAATTATTAAAATGAAAATTAATACAAACGTCAATACCTTTCAATATTATTGTGCAAAGTATCCCAACCTTTATTTTTTTTGGCATTTTCACCCTATTTTTGCATTTTTTATTGTGAAAATAATCTTTTTCATTCATTTTTCCAATTAAAAGTTATAAAATGACAAATAAACCACTATCTTTAAATAAAAAAAATAAGAAAAAATAAAGAACAAATTGCAATTATACTTGCAAAATTTTTGAAAAAGTACAAATAAATTTCAAATAAGTAATTTTGAATAGGAAGGTATATTCATCATTTTACAACTTTTAATTGAGAAAATAAATGAAAATGATGACTTTTATAATACAATGTGAAAATGAGGTTGAAAATGCCAAAAAGGCAGGGACATTTTGTACAATAATATTGAAAAGTAGGAACATTTTTTTCTAATTACCTTTTAATAATTTATTTGGACTCATTTGTACTTTTTAATAAAGTTGAGTGTGTGATTGCAATTTGTTCTTTTATTTTTTGTGTTTTATTTAAATAGAAGGATATAATTGTCGTTTTACATTTTTTTTATTGAGAAATTGGATGGAAATGATGATTTTCGCAATAAAAGGTGAAAATAAAGGTAAAGATATTAAAAAATGAAAGATAAAAAAGTTTTGTACAATAACATTGAAAATGTTCTTTTTGTGCTAATTTACCCTGCCAAAATCCCCCAACAATCTTACACTTTGTGCTCTTTTTAAAGTTTATTAAGGGGTTGTATGATAGTGATTATGAGAATTAATTTTTTGACCGCTAGAGAGAATAGTGAATTCCACGTATAAAAGAAGAAGTAAAAAATAACTATTGAAATAGTAAAATATGAATAAAAAAATTAATTTTTTGAGTGAAAAATCATACCAAACATGCACTAAGCCCCTGTTTGATCCCCATTAAATTACATTTCATTACATTATATTTTTCTCTCTCCTATTTTTAACCACACAATTTTTCATAAAATAATATTACACGTAAATCGAAAATTTTTCCTTCCTTTTTAATTACTCATTAATGAAAATGGGGCCAAACAGGGGCTAAACCTTCTCTCTCCCAACCGAAGAAAACCCTCCGCCAATCTTCCAAAATCCTTCTAAAAGCAACCTCTAGCTCTATTTCCCAGTCACAGTAGAACTGAACCCATGGCCATCGAATGTCTCGTCCTTGGTAACTCTTCGTCTCTCTCGCCCTCCTTTCTATGCAAGAGATGCCAACGTTCGACAATACTTTCACAAATATTGCGTCTTGCTCGTTTTTGTTAGCATATTATTATACGTTTATTAATGTTTTTTTGAGAGCGTTTTCTAATGGGTATCTAATTTGCAATCTCTGCTGAACTCTGAGACGTCTACACGGTTAATGTCGGTTTCAGACTGTAAACGATACTGCATTGAGACATTTTTGTTACCCACCTTCCGTTCGATGATATGCCCAATTGATTGCTTCTTATTTTTTACCACCATATTTGTTGTATATTGACTTTGAACGTACATTTATAGGCGCGGGACAAGAGGTCGGGAAGAGCTGCGTGGTGGTGACAATAAATGATAAGAAAATAATGTTTGACTGCGGTATGCACATGGGCTACTCAGATAATCGGCGGTACCCTGACTTCTCCTTGATCTCAAAATCTGGTGATTTCAACAATTCCCTCACATGCATAGTTGTCACACATTTCCATTTGGATCATATTGGAGCTCTTCCATATTTTACTGAAGTTTGTGGGTACAATGGTCCCATTTACATGACGGTAATTTTCGGTTCGGTTTACATACATTGCATCTGTTTTTGTTCACATTCTTTATTTTAATGCGACAGTTAACTGATTAGAGAGGTGTAGAAATTATTTTTCACATAATTTACAAGGATTTTTGTTTTCCTCTGTGGGATATTGACTGGCATCGCCTTATAGTAAAAATAAACACTGTTCGTGCATGTTATACATCATATCATCAAGTTTGATTTCTTATAGATAGAGCTTGTGGATAACATAACCAGAATAAATGACTGAATCGCAAGAATATAATTTAACCTTATGACAGCACGTCTACAGAATGACATTGGTGGAAAGGCTGAATTGTTTGATTATAACCTTGATTTTAGGTAAATTCTCTATTAGCATGATAAAATGTCGTATTTTTCTATGAATATAATTGCTGATATCGTATAAAATTTAAATCTTGTATATTGGTTTGTTATTTTATTGGCTTCTCAGTGTGCCAGCTTTAATTGATAATTATGATATGGATCTTCATAAACTAGATTTCTCTATGAATCTAATTATTGTTATATTATTCACTAATATCATTCAATCTAGATTTCTCTTTCTGTGCCAGCTTTCTTATATATTATTCACTAATATCATTCAATCTATATTATTTTAGTGGTTTCTGTGTCAGCTTTCTTATAATATGGATCTTCGTTAACTTTTGATGTACTAATGTTAATATTTTTTTCATCACACTGTAATTTTGTTGTTTGATATGACTCTTTGGATTAAACTTACTTCAGTATCCAACAAAAGCTTTGGCACCATTAATGCTTGAGGATAATAGGAAGGTGGTCGACAGAAGGGGGGAGGAAGAGCAATTTAGTTCCGAGCAGATTTTGGAATGTATGAAGAAAGGTACAAGGATTCCTTTTTATTAAGTTCTTCATTTCCTTTAAATATCACTATTTCCTTGTGTTTTTAAAACAGTTCTGGGCCTCGATTCGAAAAATGGAAAGAGTCAGGTTCGACTAGACCGTCAAAAATAAATAAATAAATATATGTACATATATAAGCAAACACATTTATTATATATTATAAAAATATCAAAACAACAGTAGATGGTAAATTTTTACATCTCCAATTTGAGATAGATTCAATTTTGTGTTAAACAATTTTGCTTTGAATTGGGTAAGTTGGGTTAGCATAGAATGAAGATGTGTTCTCTGAAAACTGTTATAACTGGTTGCTGGGAGTTTTTACAAGATCCCACATTGTAATCTAATAATTAGGAGGAGAGAAGGACCACCTACAAATTGAGCATCCTACTGCATTGGTTGAACAGGAAAAACCGTGTCCAGTTCACCAATATTTGGTCGGACAGGCTGGTTTAGCGGTATTCTGACCAGTTTTATTCCATAATTGGTTCTCATGTTTTCCAGTCAAACCAGATGCTCCAGTCTGGCGTTCTTAAGAATCTTAACATTGCTATTTCCTTGTCCTGTCATTATATGTTTTCACTTTCCACGTTTCTAAGAAAACTCCTGTTCCTCTAGATGATTCTCTGGTGCGATAATAAATTTTTGCCATGGAATAAATCATGGCCACTAGATGTTCAACTGCTGTATCTCGGAGTTGAAATTCAGATATTTATGATTATCTAATTTTAATTAATTTACCAAATTACTTACAAAGAACATAAAGGTGCTGTATTAGACCGGATAAGGATTAGATAGGAATAAAAAATCATATCTAATCCTTATCCAGTGCTTGGTGCAGTTAATACCTAGACTAAATTAATCTGGGGTGTTTATCCTCCTTTTTTCATCCGTATAAATTTAACACACTGTGGGGTTGGTTAGGTCGTATTATCTACTTACCAGTTAATGAATTAAGAGAAAATTAGTTTAATACTTGAGTTCAACTACATAAGGGGGTGTTTGAGCCACATTATTTGGATAATAATGCATTCTTGAATAGTGTATTGATGGAAAATGTGTGGTTAAAAAATAAAGAAAAGTTTTTAATCTGCATGTAATATTATTTTATTGAAAAATGTGTGGTTGAAATAATGTCAAATCACTATTTAAGAATGTATTTTTTTGGAATAATGTGGCTCAAACAGGCCCTAAATTTACTTACAAGTACAAAATTTGTGTATTAGTAAAAATTAACTAATAATATGCTTATACAAGTAAAATTCACTTATAAGACAAAAATTCACTTATATATGACAAAATTGCCTATATGTAGCAAGTTCTACTTATAACTAAAAATTCAGTTACAAGTAAAAAATTACTTTATTACTAAAAAACTTATAAGTAAAAATCACTTACAAGACAAAAGTTCACTTTTATACAAAAAAAAATTGCTTCTAATTGAGAAACACTACTAATAACTAAAAAATTTCACCTATAAGTATAAATAGCTTTTAAAAACTCAGTTATCTGTGAAAAAATTACTATAAGTACAAGATTCACTTATCACTATAACGCATATTAGTAAAAAATAACATCTGAGTAGAAAAAATCACCTTTAAGTTAAAAAAATTACTTACAAGTTTAAATTTTATTTATAAATAAAAAATTTCAATTTTAAGTGAACTTTTTGAAAATCACTTATACATAAATAATTTACGTATAAGTAAAAATTTCACATATGACTAAAAAAATTCATACAAGAAATTGTAAGTTAAAAAAATTCGTTTAGCCCCTGTTTGGGCTCCATTTAAAATGGATTTTGAGGAAAAATGTATTTTGGAATAACAATTTTTTGGAGAATGCATGGTTAAAAGATAAGGAAATTTTTTTGGTTTACGTTTAATATTGTTTCTGTTGGAGAATATGCGGTTGAAAATGAGAGAAAAAAATACATTTTGACAAAAATGGAGCCCAAATGGGGGCTTAACAAGTTAAGAAAAAATTCTTATAAAAAAATAATGTCATAAATTTTTTAATTTTTCATTACTTGTACGGTCTTCTAATTTGGTGTTGCACCAAATGCCACATTAGAACAATCCTCCTTAATCCACTTACGTACAGCCTCTCCTTATCCTATACACCCTTATCCTATCCCTTATGATGTTATCCCCCAAGACGATGTGATACGTAGTGAAAAAATTGATAATCTTGAAGAGAGTTCTAGTATGGTTAAGCTTTATATATAGTGGACATTAACACGTAATTTAGCTGGTGATGATGCACATTTCTTATCTATAGGTGTAATGAATCTATGCTCTGAAGTATGGAATTCTGGTTGAGAGCCCTGAAACTTGGAACAAGAGGTAGTAATGTTTGAACATTTAGAAGTTGAATTTCTGGACTCAAGTTACATGTTTCCAATTATGGCAAACATTTTACAGATATTAAATCATTTTTGTATTTTTCTTTTGTTTCAACTATTATTTTTTAATCTTGATTTCCACTTGCAGTGACTGCAGTGGATCTGAAGCAGACCGTTCAAGTTGACAAAGACCTCCAGATCCGTGCATACTATGCAGGGCATGTAAGAATCTTAATTTTTTCTCCTAAAGAATGGAGTCCTGAGTACGTAATCATGTTTGAGTAGAATTAAACTAATTTATGAATTAACTACACGATTGCTAATGCACGAGCAATTGTAAGTTAGTCCATGAAATGTGAGATATTGTCCTTCGGGCCTTTCATTGTTTTACCCTTAAAAGACATTTTGTGAGGTAGGATACCTGATGCTGTAATCTAAGTACAGGTTGTTCCTGTATACCTTTTGATGTGAGATCCTGATGCATCTCCATTGCGCCCTGCAGATGTTCCTACTTCTTAGCAACTTCCAGTGTGTTGGCTTGACTATGAATTGAACAACATAATTTAAGAAGTATAGGAGTGAAATATTTAACTTTTTAAATGTAATCACTATAAAGAAAGAATAGAGAGCGAGTTTTGGCTCTCCAATTTTGGATAGTCAAACTCATTCTCTATTTTACAATGTCAAAATAAAGAGTCTCTTTGAGTTTATTTTTTAAGCATTGGCTCTATAAAATAGAGAGCATCTTTTATTTTTAGAGTGTCTTGGAGATGTTCTCAATACTTGCTTCCTAGTTTTCTCTTTCCTACCCACCTTTAGGGTGAAGTTTTTTCCCCTTCTTTATTTAGGTGGGGGGGATTGGTGCAGGAAAATTCTATCAAAACTGTATCAGTATTAGTTGTAGGACTCTATTACATTAGTAGGTTTTTTTGTTTTTGTTTTATTAAGAACAGATTATATGGAGATTGTTATCTTTTTCTTCTAGAAGATGGTCAATGTCATGTATGACTCCTGGAGCAATATCTAGACCAAAAAATATATCCCTAACGCGAAGATGGTTTCGTTTTACTTAACTAGACTTTCTCTGAGAAACAACTGCCTTCTTTTGCCCACACCTCATAGAGAAAGGGACTGTATAGAACCTAGCTAAGCCAACGATTACCTGACTACGAACCATTGGATCATCACTCTTTAGTCGAGTGGTTTGACCAGTTGATTCGAAATTTGTAGATTCAAGTTTCAATTGATATTTGCGGAGTTGAATATCCCTCTCGGAGACTAAGATTTGAAGTTGTCTATAATTTACTTGGTAGTCTGTATAACTCACACATTTGTGTACAAATCAGTGCAAGACGAAGGAATACAACCATCTTTGTTAATAACTCCATTTTCATTAGCCGGCCTGTGGGAGCAAGTTTGGAATATATTTGGTGTTTCTTCCTAAGATTCATCAGCTTTTTTGTTTCACCAAAATTCAAATTTCACTGCTGCACAAATAAAGTTGCTTCTGTCCATATTTCCTGCTGTTAGTGCTATATGTTTTACAGTAGATATAGCTCTCACTCATTTGCAATGACTTGGGAGCTCGGTCTAAGTGAAGCAAGGGTATTGTCCTTGAGGTCCAGTTTTTATCTCTAAAAGGGGTTTCTCATTATACACATGCCAAGCCCCAAGTCCCTTCTGTATAATCTAACGTGTTGTCCCAGGATATAGGATATTGCAACAATACCGTTCTCAATCAAGCTTCAGCGCACTTGCTATTTTTCTTGGACAAAATAGAAATAATTTTTCTGATGCAGGTTTCTTTTGCTTTTCATGTCGTTTATTTTAATTCGTTACATCTAAGATTTTGATCTCAAAAATATGTTTTCAGGTCCTTGGGGCTGCAATGTTTTATGCAAGAGTGGGAGATGCTGCCATAGTGTACACTGGGGATTATAATATGACACCTGATAGACATCTTGGGGCAGCTCAAATCGACCGACTACAGTTGGACCTCGTTATAACTGAGTAAGCTAAATTTTAACAGTATGTTCACATATGATCATTTGTTCTTATTTTTTTATTTGTACATGGATTTCCCCATTAGGTTTTCTTGTCTGTCAATCATAAAAAAGGTAGAAGAAGAAGGGATTCCTTTTGGTCTTTTACTTGTGAAGAAGGGCTTCCAGAGTGGTCTAGTTGTAGATATTTCCTATGAAGACATGTTTGATATAAGTTGGTTTTTGGAACCATTATCGAGCGAGGTTCTGTTCTGGCATTTCCATCTCTAAGGACACATCAGAATTTGACAATAAGGGATTGTTGTAATAAATTTATTGAGTAAAAATGATCCATTATATTTGAGTTAAATAACGAAAGTCTATTGGATGGATAGAGAAGGTAAAATCTCTTCCATATGCCAAGTAAGTGTAAAGTAAAGATTGTCTTTGCACTTTAGGCATTCAAACATTATATGTTAATCTAACTATCTAAGCCCAAAATCTGGTTCACGATAAATAATGTACTTGAGGTAGTTGTTAGAAATGCCTTTTTTTATATCATTGAGAATTGAGCTACTCAATTATTGAATACAATCATGTTTGTGTGTGTGTGTGTGCATATAGTGCATGCTTATTTTCTTCTAATTAATAGCACTTTGTATCACATGCGACAAAATATGTGTATCAATTTTGTATTGACACGTTTGCTCAAAAAAATGTTATACAGGTCGACCTACGCAACGACATATCGTGATTCAAAATATGCTCGGGAGAGGGAGTTTCTGAAAACTGTATAATGTTTTACCCAATAAAAGTTTAATTTGTCTTATCCAATCTTTATATCTTTCGAAAACTTATTCATGTTTTTCTGAGCCATCTCTCACAAAAATCATGGTTTCAGCAACGGTAGTGATATTTACAAGGGAAATTGAATTTTTTAATAGAAATGACTGAGTAAATTTTTATAGATACACTTAGCTTGTTGAAGATATTATTTAAATGATGTAATTGTGCCCTTTCTATTAGTTTAAGTTTTTAGATCAAATGGTTCAACATGATTTTAGTAATTAGAGCAAGCAAAGGTCCAGGTTCAAGTCTCATCGCCACCCATTTAAATGAAATTGTGTATATGATAGGCTTTGATGGAAAAATTTTAATCCCACATATGTGAGGTTCATCTCGAAAACAATATTTAAATGATATAGATTAATAGTAATTTTGCAATATTTAGGGTCAATTACCTGTATTATTTTTCACCATTCTATATGATTCCGAGCTACTTCTACAAAATTAAACCATTATAATATATGCATTCAAAACCTGGCCTTGACAAGGTAAAAATTAGATGGGAATGAAAAGCAGATGAAATGTTGTCTCCATTTGCACTCTACTACAAGTTCACTTACTTCCATAGATTTTCTGAAGATATGTCAAACTTTTACCGCAAGGATGTAGTTTATGAGTTATGGTTCTCCCATTTCCTCATTGATCTAGCTTTGCAATCTTAAATAATTTGTACTTGCTTATTAATATGCAGTTTAGTGAAGTTTTTTAAATTTATGTTTTAAGATAATTCTGTAGGTTCACAAATGTGTTGCTGGTGGAGGAAAGGTGCTCATTCCTACATTCGCCTTGGGAAGAGCCCAGGTTCTAGTATCAACTTATTATTGATGCCGTCTTGTCAATGGTTGCATATCCTAGCATGATATAGACTTTACAGCTCTAGATCTAGATTTCTAGAGAGTTGATTCCTTATAATATGATCTAACGTGCCAAGAATCTGAGTTAATGTGGACTGGATGTCGAATCTGATTTTGATCACTGCATTTATCTGTAAATTGTTATGAAAACATTTTATTATTCATAATTCTAAAGAACTAATAAAAAAAACATAACAGATAAACCTCCATACAGATCCACAAGGGCTCTACATTTTGATTTTGCAATAACTGACCTGAATTTCATTACTTTACATCCTTTGGTAATTACACAAGCCATTGTGCTAGAATTTAGGGCATGTACACCTGTCACAAATTTTCTACAAATGCATGTGCAGTGGGAAAAACTAAAAACTAATTTGACTTATTCAATTATGGTCAACATTGTTGACACTGACCCGTTGGCAACTGTTTCCTCCATGGTGGCTTCACTCAACTATCATTACTTGATATGATAGTATTACGCCAAAATACAATTCCAACACACACCTTAATCTAGATTTACTAGTTGAACGATTCTGTGACTTGAATTGGTGAGACGGTGAACTGATGTCGATATACAAAATTTGTGTCACGAGCTTAGACTTATCTAAGTGCCGAAAGAATGTAAGAGTGAAATGGATATTCAATCTTCAAATTCATGGAAACTTGCGAGACCTCTTCAAATGGATGTTTGGTGCTTGATGCTGAAAGTCTTCTCCATGTCCAGTCCTATATATACTTCTTTGAAGTCCAACTTGCAGTCGAACGATCCTTTCGAATTTTTTAGCATCTTCACTTTTGATCCAAACCGTAGTGCACCTGATAATGATGAATAAGCAAAATGTTGTTTTGGAGATAAATTCAACAGCCTTCTCCATGCCCTCCCAGCTCTAAATGTTACGAAGGCCTTCAATTATTCGTATTTTAAAGAACTAATAGATGGAAAAAAAACATAATAGGTTCGTAACCTCCCAAAAGATCCACAAGAGATCTATAATTAAATTTGCAATAATATGACACTAATTTTCATAATATTTACAACCTTAAATAGATAATTACATAAACCTTTATGCTAGAATTTTGGGTATATACACCCATTTTCTACAAATGCTTATGTAACTATTATTGACCTATTCAACTATGGTAAATACAAACATTAGAGCACATCTTTTAATAAAATATGACTGTAAACTTAATAATTGTTAATTTGAATTTTTTTAATCTGAGTTTTCGCAAATGGATTAAACACTACATGCTAGTTTCTAGAATGAATTGCTTTGCAATTTAATGTTGAATTACCTTTTCAACGTTTAACAAATGAGTTACCTTTCAAGTGAAATTATAGTGGAGGAATAGAAAACTAATAATTTAGGTACTCGAGCAAGCAGATTTTTTAAGGATATTATTTGTTATCCAAGTGCAGGTCTATATTTTTCATTTAACTCATGTTAATTAACTAATTTCGTTTGAATCAATTCAATGATTTGAATTTACTATGAGGCTTATATTATTGCAATATGTGGAAAATCATTTGTCATTCATGCCTTTCCAAATGTGCATCTCGGTCTGACAACTTAGCTTTTAACATACAGGAACTCTGTATGCTGTTGGATGACTATTGGGAGCAGATGAATCTTAAAGTTCCTATTTATTTCTCAGCAGGTAGACTCTCTTTTGTGCCTTGACTAATAAATTATAAATGGATCAACAACATAAAAATTTCCCTTGGCATTTTTTTTTTTGTATCTTGGACCAAGTGTTATGAAAATACTCATTTGTTTCTCTAGTTGAGTACATATTATATTTTCGAGAAACGAAGGATTGGAAGTCATGTATCCGCATATGGAAAAGACAAATTGAATAAAGCTATACATCTGCTCAAATCCTACCCAAAGCTATATATCAGGAGTGATACTCTGAATCTTGTTTACAGTGATGCTATATGCACCTATATAAAGGAATCTTCTAATACCTTTATGGTATTGTTTGCAACCCCTTTAAGATTTGACGTCTTCTACACTTATTTGAACCTGAGCTCACAATATAACATTTCAATGATTTCATTTTGATTATTTCTCACCTACGGATGCAAATCCATCTTAATGAGGAAATTCATTGAAGTTGATCCATCTTCAAAATCTCTCGACAATTATGTCGTAAAATACCAAGTATTATATGGAGAATAATGCCCAGTTCTTCATGTATTGCGGGATATACAAAAGAGGTTTGTACACTTCACTTGAATAACAAGTTGCTTCAGGTGGGATGCGTTAGAAAAAGTAAGAAAAGAGAAATTTAGCATCATTGGACATGGCAATTTTTACACACTGCCATATTTGCAAGGTTAATGCATGTCCAGGGAAAGAATTAGGCAATTTTTGTTTACTCTTTTGCCGTATTTAAGTTTATCTTTATGCAAGAGTTTTTCAAAACAAGGGGAATAAATTTGTTGCTATTTTAATAATTGTTTTACAAGCTCCAGTAAGTTTTTGAGATTTTGCCAATTGTTAACATATATTTGAGTGAGGCTCATTGCCACTGTATCAGAATCCATTTATTCTTCATCTGGTCAATCTTCAACAGTATTCCTAATTGTTTCAAACTTTCAATGACTATTTTTATTAATCTGTCAGGTTTGACTCTTCAAGCAAATATGTACTATAAAATGCTCATCAACTGGACCAGCCAAAAAGTGAAACATACTTATGCTACACGCAATGCATTTGATTTCAAACATGGTAATTCCCGTATTGAATTTTCTGTATTTAAAGGATTGATGCAGTATCTTTTGTCTGAAAAGTATTTAAGTGAAGAAATATTCCTATTTCAACCTAGAACGGAATTAATCTGTGTTTGATGTCATCACATATCGGTGAACCACATCGTCTAAAAGTTTAAGCCATTAGAGAGGGAGTTAATTTATCTTTTAAACTTTGTCTTCATCTTGTTCACTCATATGTTGATTGGATTTGTGATGTAGGATAAGAAGCAAGAAGGGGAGGAGAGGAAGAATGAGAGAAGTAGAAAACGGGAAAAGGAAGAAGGGGAGAAACTGAGAGGAGGGGAGAAGAAACCAGGGGAAGACAGGGGAGGGAGAAAACGGCTGCAAGCCAAACAATATTTTAATTCTAATTCATCATCGTCTAATGAAATTATAACTGAAAACCATATAAATAGTAAAAGCATAACCCTACCAGTGATGGGCTTGGGCCAAACCAATGATACAAGCCCAATAACTAGAAAAAATAAAATAGTGCGATAATAATTTAAGTGATGTCCACATCAATTCTCCCGGGGTTGAAGAAAAACTCGACTCTGTGGAGTGAACAATTTGTTTTACCATAAAAGATTTTGATACATGCACAATTTTAGAAATGGGTGGTAGAGAAACTTAAACTCAGGACATTTGCTTGCTTTAACACAATATTGAGCTATCTGGGTAAATTTCATTCACGGTAATTATACTCACTCTAGTGTCAATTAGGTAACTGTATTTCAACTTTTGTTCATTTAGGTGACTATAATTTAATTTTATTTCAATAGAAAAATCTGCCCAACCTTTTTATGGAAATCAATGATGTGGCAATCAATAAATGATAGTTGTTATTTATTTTACTAAAGTTATTCTTATTCCGTGTCAACAACTCATATCATGGATATGCATAAGTGGAATTAGACGAAGATACCTTAATTAAAACAAATTTAAAGTGTAGTTATCTGATTAAAATAAAATTAGTGTAGTTACCTTGGCGAAACCATATTAAAGTTTAGTTACTTAATTGAACAAAATTGATGTATTTACCTGATCGACACTAGAGTTAAACTATTGTTAATTGTGAATGAAATTTACTCAAAACTATCTCATCTAAAACCTTAAGCTTTTAGATGAGGTGGTCCACACCTATTGAAGCTCAAGCTGTTGCCTTCTATATCACTAAATTTGAAGGTTGTTTTTACTTCAACGAAGTATGAAAAACATGGGTATTGATGAACTATAATTAAATACCTTTACTTTATTGGCTTCACCATGTGATATAGGTACACCATTGCAACGACATTAAATTAAGCCTCATTCCTTGTAAAAGTTCGTGGTCAACTATATGAATCCTTTTTTCATGGCCCAATTAGGTCCATCACTAGTACTAGAAAATCAAATACAAACACTAATTATTTTAATTTGTTTTAGATTCATTTAATAGATC